GCCAAATATTCAAATTGTTCAGGTATATTTAATATATAAATTGAAATTATATGCGCTAAAAAATAATGAAATATGCGCATACATATGCACTAAGAAAAACTTAAATATGTAATATTATGCAGTACAATATGCAGTTGTATTTAAAATAAACGTATTAATATATTTTAATAAACCTAAAAATGAATAATTATTTTAAATAAATTGTATTTCTTAATAAAATATGTAATTTTATTTTTTTTTCTATTTTTTTATTCTTCTAGGGGGGGGGGGGGGGTGACTCAAACAATTTTTTTAGTTCAGGCTCAAAATTTACAAGTAAAATTTTTGGTAATATTTAAATCAGATGAATCCTTAATATTTGTGTTTTTTTTTTTTTTTTAATCTAATGCCGGATCTACTTAGAATCGACTTTTGTGTAGTTCTTTTTTAACACCTGTTTGTGTTTTAAAAGTTATGCTTGTGTTTTATTTTATTTTTCACTAAGTATGGACACTAAGTATCGTATCGTTATAAAATCATCCACATTAAAAAAAATTGAAATGTTTATCCCACATATGATCGATTCCTTAAATACGGATTCAGGGAGGGGGGTAGCCACCTTCGCCCCCCTCCCTAAAATACGCCAATGGTTCTAGAGGTAAAGGGACGTCTAGTGCGTGGTTTTTGAAAATCTGTATAGGCTAGTGCTCTGCACAGTCCGTTATTTAAAGGACTAAACCGGACTTAAAAGTTCTACCAGGGAACCGAAGTCGGATCGAACCACACTTAAACGTTAATCAAAGACCAAAATTGGACCGAACCAATGGTTTCATATAATTTTATGACCGGAACGGGCCAGTAATTAAATAACATTTAATAAAGTAGACCGTGAAACGGACTGTCGGTCCGATCTTAAAACATTTTCCATAAGGTCCATAAGGTTCAGTTTGTATTTGCCCAGATAGTTCTATATGATGCATTTAGTATTACACTGAACTGGACTACCTGACTTTATAAATAAATATATTCCTAAAGTTGTAGGTTTTTTCGTTTTATTTGTTTATATAACAATATCTGTACTAAGATTTTAAGTACCATGATTGGGACCGGACTGATTTTCATTTTTTTTTTTTTTTGAAACCAAACCGGACTGAAAATAATACATTTGATCTAAGGACTGGACCGAATTACTGCTAAAAATTTTTGAACCAGACCAAACCGACGATTCAATAGTTTTTGTATGTTAGGACCGCACTAGACTGGACCATACAGAATACTAGTATAGGCAATGATTCTTTTTAACATTTTTTTTTCACATTTGTTACGATTTTATCAATGGTACCCAATTGTACATGTACTTCTTCAGCAACTCTATGGAAGCCATAAGTAGGACAAGTCACGTGTACCATTTTAGAGTACAGTAAATGTAAATATTTTCTACTTTTTACCATATAAAGTGCTGTGTCTTATAAAAATAATAAAATTTCATCGTATCTTATCCCATGGGCCATGAAGTTCTTAAGAATTTGTCAAAAAATGTACTAAGCGGAGAGTGATTAGTTTTTCCTAATGTTTTAGTATTCAGTAAAAAAATTGCAGCATGTTCTTCCAAAGTCCCTATTATTAAACTTGCTTTATACCGATCTTCTGCGTCGGTAGTTACAACAAGTGACACCCAGATTTTTCGGTCAAAAACACATTGTCTAATTTTTTTCATGATTTCGTTGTAACAGTCATCTAAATAAAACTTTGGAAGTACCAATTCTGTAGGAATATGTTTTCCATAATAAACTTCCAAACATTTCCGAAATTCTAGATTTGATATTTCGTTAAGTATTATATTAACTGAGACCATAGCTTTGCCTAAATCCATGTTAAACTTTGACATTTTAGACGAGAGATCGTATGTTAATAGTTGTAGCACTTGGGGTGTCGTTCTGTTCTTTTCTATAACGCATATGTTTTACTGTTTTCGAGTGTTATATCACACTGGATCTTCTTTCCGAATTTTCAAAACAATATCTTAGAATCAACACTGAACAGATTTTCACCAAACTCATCCACGTCCGGTACGTAATCGACTATTTTAGGCGTATTAACCTATTTTTCAAATGTCGATAGAATATTAAATTACAATTAATAAATATTACGCGGTAAGCGATCACGGTCGCGAACATGAACACACTAAACACAACTGGACGTTTATCAAACGATAGATAGGCACTGAAATACGAATATTAGGAGTGGCGGTTTTGGGGGTGAGGCAAGTGAGACGCTATCTCACCTAATATTTTTAAGAAAAAAATACTCAACAATTATATTTCTTGGCTCACCGATAGATCAAATACTTTGATAATAATTCTCAACGTTTTTATGATTTTATTTGAGAAAAAATTCTTCTTTGTCAAGTATAATAATATGAATTATCATTTATTATAATGTACATTATTTCGTGTTTATTATCAAAAACAGCAACAAACCGATAAGAAATGGAATAATTATTAATTATTACGTAAACAGGTGTTTCAGTCGACGGCATTGTTCCGATGACGTCGATAAGCGTCGTTCAACGTCGCCTCTAAACTCAGTACTTGTGTATATCAATTATATACACACAATCGTATGTACACGAGTGCACGCAACTGTTAAATAAGTATTATCGCGCATGCGCAATGGTCATCGCGAGGCCCGATTATTATCGCCTATGTGAACTAAAAAAAATAGATGCGGTAAGTATACCATTAGGTATCATGGTCAGCCCGCAGTTAACGTAAAAACGTAGAATACATTATCAATTGTTATTGTTATAGCCGGGAGTCGGGACAGCTCTAATTAAACCGTTATAAAATGTAATATTAATTTATATTTCTTATTTCTGTCATGTTCGGGTCGTCGGTTGTGTTGGACGTTGATAGGTACAAAATTATAATTATATTTATGTTTATAAATTACCATTTGCAGTGGATTCTAATTTTTGTTATGAAGGAAGGGTTGGTATGTAGGTTGCCTCACAAAAAAAATACCACCAAAACCGCCACTGAATTTTAGGTGTAAATGTGCGCGATCCCGCGGTACAATACACGCGAGATGTGGTGCGGCTCGTAATCGTAACGATTGGTAAGTGCGCCGAGAAATGCGCCACGGGATTGTTTTACGTACAAGCGCGGCGTGGTACACAGGCGAATCACGGGCTAGCCATGGGATTTTACATTAATAGGTAACAACGATTACGATTGTAACCGCGGTTGAAGATTACACCGACAATAACAACCGTATGCCGTACACCTGCACAGTTCTTGGTAAAAATCGATCGTTTTTACCGGGTTGATAGATTGCAATCGATTCTAGGCTAAGTATAATTCAAAATATAGACGATGTGTGGCGGCTCTATTTTTAAATTTATCATATCGATGATTTACCAACACAATATGCATTTATATTTTTAAAATCTTTAAACATGCAAAATCATGTAAAATTAATCAAATATGCAAAAATATGTAACATACATTCTTGTATTTAGGTTGTATGTACAACGAAACGAATTTGTATCGAATCAGATTTTCAATATGTAGCTTCCTAAAAAATATGCAAATGCTTTAAGTTCCACATCCGGCTTATTATTATTGTATAGTAGAATACACTCGTGGATCATTTGCTGGCTATCTTTGTTTTATTGAAATTCATTGAAGTTAGACAAGTTACAGTTACCTTACAAATTATTTTTTTTCTAAACGTAATTTTATTACTTTAATCTTGCTAGTCTACCGTTTATTTTGGCATTAAAAAAACATCCATTTCAACTAAAATTAAATTAATTCTCTAAAAACAGAAAACTCATTCAAATTGAGATTACCTGTGGCCATATTTTATAATACATTCAAAAACAGTTTTAAACTACAATTTACTTTCAAAGTAATACCATTTTATTGAAGTAGTTAAACGAATTACAAAAAAAAGTCAATATTTTCATAAGAAGAATTATTTTATTATAAATTTAATTAAGCAAAAATTGTTTGTTACAACATTCTTATAACTTAAACGATAGGTTCTTTATTTTATTCTTACTGTAAAGTCTCATCAATCTCATTTACATAGTTATAACCAGGGGTGTTTGGTACGTATACGCGGGTATACGGCATATACCCGTCAGCAGATATTCGATTTTCGGCGTATATCTAATGTAAAATGTTTTTTTACTGGTATACGCTGCTAAAATAACTCAAAAAAAAAAATATAATACCTAGTTCATTAGAAAATAATCTTCTGAACCATAAGGTTGAATGAAATATTTATCTGTTGAAGATTACAGTGTATACTATATTAATGTATTTTAAGTTAAATGGGCATTCATCCCTTGGTTCTTAAATCTGCATCATGCATCATGCAATAAACATGATGTCGATCAAAAGCATTGATGGGAATATTACTGAATAAAAAGTAAAAAGTAGAAAATGTCATCTTGTTGGTACTTTTAAGGGAGTCATTTTACAAATTTCCCAACAGTTTTCTTAATTAATGACTTAAAATAAAGACAAAGTTTATAAGATTAAGATCAAGCGTACCTAAATTCTATAAAAAAAAAGTAAATTCCTTACTTCTTGGAATTATTGCTTTCAATGCTAAGGCATTTCACAATTTTTATCTTCACAGTTTTGACTTTTGTGATTATTTTTTTGCGTTTATAACTACCGTCCATTAGGTTTAGCTACCTTAAATTATATCGACGGTAAAAATGTTTCATTGAATCGTTTCATCTACACGCGTATCTATGACACGTTAGGGATAATTCCGCACGTACACTGTACAACATGTTCGCAAGCGGAACTCGAAATAACATTTCTAGTCGATGTAGAATTGTGTAACAGAGACCTACTGAACATTATAACATATTATATGCCGTTAAAATGTACGTGCCAAGAAAACACCAGTCGACGGATTATTATATACGGATTATAAATATTTATACTTGGGGAGGGAGGAATAGAGGGTCTGAAGCTAAAGTACGCGCGTGCGATACGGACCTGAAACGGCAAAGGGTCCTCGGGATCGTCGTAGAACTCGTGCAAATAACTCTTGACACCAAAACCCGTGAGCTGTCTGCCGGTCTGAAAATAGTACGGTATGTGGTCGTCGCTATCGGACTGCTGCGGTAGTGGCAGCTGTTTTTTCTTGAACCGTTTGGCCGACGGAAACGACGGCGACAATAACGACGACGGATTTTGAGTGACAAAACTCACGCGGTTCGTGTTGGTCGATTTCTTGTTGTGTACCAGTATGCCCTTAGCGGTCGTGGCCTCTGTCGTACGTCGCGTCTTACTCGCCGACACCGGACTCGGGCAACCGCTACCCGATGACGACACGGACTCGCTGACATCGTTGTCGGATATCATGTAAACGGTCAACACCTGCACTCCACTGAAACACACCGCAATATGCAAAGCATTTGGTCAGACGCGCGTATTCGAAATGCTGTTTTTGGTGTCCAGGCTCCTGCACGTGAAATATTTTTATTTTTGTAACCTACGCGTTTTTGTTGAACGTGAACGATATTAAACAGACCAACGTAACTGAATCAAGTTACTCTTTGTTACTCGATAATAATTGTGACTCTTGGAAACCTCCCCGAATTATTTTCTCATGAACTCGTCTGGATTCGTTATAAGGGTTGCTCGTGTGATATGAAGAGCAAGTGCACGTTATTATTTGCGTACAGAAAACGAGTTTTGATAGTTATGATTAGCGACTGACTATATGCGCGCATGTACAGTTGATATCGTTTCAGATCAACCCTAATGGGTTTGTGTATGAATGCTGTTTTAGCAGAGATATGCTAACATGTATTTATTATTCACTTTTTTTCACTCGAATCTAAATATGTAAAACGAATATCATGATAATATAAAATATACTTTCAATTCTCATAATGGTTATTAAAAACTATAAAGGAGCAACGCTATTATCATGATATGATCGCATGCGGTAGGCACCTCGTGTTTGCCTGGAAAAATTACTATGAATACATAATATGATTGTAATTTTAGTGTATGCAAGTAACTAACCTTTCATAAAATAATTTATGTATTATGTATTGTATTTAATGATTTTTCGGTATTGATTTTAGTATTTTTTTCCATCTTTCTCTTTTAAACGCGTGCCGTTACATAATTATGGGTCATATTTATGATTATAAATTAAAACTACTTGTACAATTTACACATTATTTGGAATTTTTCTATTACTTTCTGAATTCCATACAATTTTTCATATTAAAGCGTACGATACAATTGAATGTCTACCAAACCGTCAACAACAATATGATATGTTTATCACTATTGTTCTTTTCGGATCGATTTTTATTTAAATGGACATAAGTATAAAATATTTTAATTGAAGACATTTCATTTTTTTTATTAAAATAGAAAATTTACAATAAACAAATAGGATATTATGATGTGGGGAATATTTACATGATAATTAGTATAAGAAGGGAAGCTGCCCAGTAACAGAATTTATGTGATATTATAATTGGGGTTTTTTTTATAAATCTCTACACCAGCATATTTCTAACCGACGGGGGAGATTTTCTGAAAACTTGATTCCCTCTTGAACGGCTATAAGTGAGTTGGTATGAGTGGCTAACTTGGAGTGTTATTTTCAGTATTGATGGGATACAACTGTGTCAATGATTTTAATACTGAGGTCATTGTGGAACGATTTTTTGGAAACAAACCAAGATACATAAATTATTCAACAAAAAGTAATTTATTGGAATGTTTAAATTTTTTTGTTATAAATGCAGTGGCGGAGCCCCATATCTGTTTTCCGAAAGCCTAAATGGTTTTAAATAAATATTTATAAATAATTATATTATTGTTGAGGGAAATATTTCATTTAAGAAAATATCGAAGAAAGTGTAGTCTACTGTTAAGTTTTTTCTTTGTCGATTTTAAATATAAACCTCGGGTTAGACGTTTGTCTAAAATCTGGCCTAATTATTTTATTTCATTTTTGATTGGAATTTTTATTATCTCAAAGTGAAAGACAAGTTATTATCTAATTAGATGCCTATTTTTCTATTTTATATGGGATTGAGGGATGCTACAGTGTTATCACTATGTTCATTAAATATTGCTGTGTTATCTTTGTATATGGCAATTAGAATATTATCAGAATTTAGTATGTCTGCAGTGAATATTTTATATAATATATAAATTAATACATAAATTATGTTATGGAGATATATTGCTTCCTTGTGAGACTCCTGCTTAGATTTTAATAGAGGAAGAAAATGTGTTACTTGTCTGCCAATAAATGTGCGGGTTGATAATTAAAGAATTAAACATCGGAAAAAATATAAAAAGCTCGATTGAAAATACGAGTCGTAAGCGTCTAATTTACTTTGACCAGTCTTAGAATACTCCAAAAAAATCATTTAACACATCGTATTCAAATCTATTATAAATTCTAATTATTTTCTAAATTAACCAACTTGTCTCTACATATAGCTATACAAGTACACTCATTAATCGGTTATCAATATTTTGCTTGTATATGTGCTAAATCAAAAGTAATTTTTAAATACGCACTGGTCATCAATATCATCTGCATTATCGTTTCCGTTCGTTCGGTAACCCGCTGCTTTGGCGGTTGATGTCTGTTCAATTCCATCTGCACCATGGGATCCACCCGCACTCTTGTCTACCAGAGCTCTAAATTTACACAAAAAAAATTACTAACCATCAAACTTTAAACGTCATCAAAATTATTCGTTGTCCAAGTTTAATTTTACAACTATAATGGATGTTTTTACTTATACTTTACTCTGTTCCATAAATTATACTTATTTTATATAATAAAAATCTTGTGTTACAGTATTTGTGATCATACTCCTCCAAAACGGCTTAACCGATTTTAATGAAATTTTGTATATATATTTGGTAGGCGTGCGAATATATAATTTTAAAGGATCAATTTTAATAAATTATTAAAAAAATAAATGTTTGATGTTTTTTTTATTTTTATATTTCGTCACCGTTCACAGCATTCCATACCTCTTCCACTTATAGACCACATCCTTACACGCCTATATTAAATTAGTTATTTTTTCTAGCAAAATACTCTCTGGAAATAATTTATTTGAGAAAACTACGTTTGTTGGGTCAGCTAGTATTTTATATAACAATTGGATATTTAAAACTAATGAAATAATGTGTATAAACCGTAAAATCTCCTTATAAGAGACCTCTAAAATATTGAAAATCTCCTTAGAACGGAAAATAATCACAGCTCTATTTCAATTTAGTTCTAAGATGATCTAAAGCGAAACTTCTATAAACCGGACACGGAAAAATTATTATTTCAACGAAAATAAAAAACTCTTTATACGCCGGAGAACAAAATTTGTCGATTATAAAATATAACTACAGATGTTATGTAGAAAAATCTCATTATAATGGATAGAAACAAATGATTTTCAAATATCAATTTTGTGCTTGAATGAACTTCTTAAATTATAAACCATAGTTTTGAATGCAAAAGTATTAGAATTAATAACAAAAATTCAATAATATACCGGACTTAATCATCAAAAACAAACAAATAGTAAATATAACAAATTATTTTTCTAAATTATAAATATAATAGCTTAAGTTATATATGATGTACAATAATCAATTACTGACATACGTTACATACAAATGAAAATTAATAACTAATACAAGCATTAATGTTGTTTATGTATTAATATACTTATAACTTTTATCCATGTTTCATATATTTATTTATTTTTTTAAAAAATTGTAAATCAAACTTTTTTAATGACGATGTATGTGAATTTATTATTTCATTTTTCCATTTTTCCATTATCTATTGCACTTCAGACAAGAACACACGTTATTTTCTGTTTTATTGAGAGCTGAATACACAACTAATCATATATATATATATATATATAATGAATGTATAACTAATATACATTTATTTTTAAGTTATGAGTATATTAAATTATTTACTATTATTAAATATAATATTTACATTACCTATTTATGCAAAACAGGCATTAAGAAAATTATATATATTTATAATATAAATTCAAAAGCTTTAGTTATTATAATAAAGACTATGAATCGATTGTTATGCAATTTACAAACGTCTAATGTTAAATATAAACATATTGCATGTATATAATTTGAAATACATAATATTTAATTTTAATTTTAATTGAATACATTTTACATTTATATTGTAAAAATACGTCTCAAGTGTTTATATTAAACTTAAAATATTAACTAATACTACTAATATGCTAAAAATTAACTTCTACTAATAACATTTAAAATATCATGCTACATGTAATTCTTTCTTTAAAAAAATGAAAAAAAAATTGTACATTTACACTTGAGTTTTTCTAGTATATTATATATTTATATATTATTATATAAGATTTAGCATTATGGTCTACTGTTCAAACTAAGGCAACATCACTTTCTTATGATTTAAAACACTACAAACAACCAAAAATCCTTTGCGTTTGTGTCTCAACTTATTTAATTTTTAGTTGTTGAAAATTATATTGTCTTAAATATGTAACAAAAATTGAACAACATTAAATACATAATTCAAACATTTTAAATTAACATTTCCTTAACGGCAAAATAAAAAAGTATACACGACAATTTGCGTACTAAGTCAAGTAAATGAACCTTTTTGAATCAATTACATCTAAAAAATTCGTATTTCTTTTTCACTCAACATTTTTTTAATAGTTCCTAGTAATTTCCAAATTTATTTTTAATTTTGTAAATATTTTTTAATTTTTTAACAATAATAATAATAATAAATTTAATATTTATCATTAGTATAATGTTACTTTATGAAAACTAGTTTTAGTGGTTTGTACCTTTATAGATATTCAAGAATTATTCAAGAGATGAAAACACGCGGAAAAGAATAATGGTAAGAAATATTATATACCTCTTTTATTATTTTGTACATACAGGCACAAGACCGAAAGATTAGAAGTTCAACTTCCCCTCCTTAAATAAAAGACATTTTTTTTATAAAAATATGACCTGACCTAAAAATATAATAGTTATTTCAAAGTTTCCCGTGAAACTTACAAATAAAATACATACATTTATATATATTATTTAATGAGTAACATAGCATATTCATCAACATTTTACATTTTTTCAAACCTCCATCTCAATATTTTTTCCTGCGTTCACCAATGAGTATGTATATATTAAAGTATAATAAATTATAAATTATTAATGACTCACTCAACAGTTTATAGTGTTAGTTTAATAATATAGTTTTTAAATCCACTGTGAACTTAATTATTATTATGTAAAATATTGGTAAGGATGTATTCTTATCGTTCTATAGGTATTTTATTATTTCTACGCGACAATTTCATGACAAATTACAACTATAATTTGAAATCAAAATATTTTTTTGGAAATGTATTTATTTAAAATAGTATGTATATCTGTTGAAAAATACTGTCTTCAAATAAAATAATTTTTTTGTTTAAACATATTAACTAAACTGTTCAGGATTAATTTGATCTGTTAAAAATATAAACCTATTATTATTAATATATATATATATATATATATAATATATTTATTATATTATAATTATATTAATTTTATATTAAAATATAATATACTAATATATTTTCTAATAAATTGTGATAGATTGCTTTTGTCAGTCTGAATAATACATATTATCATGAAAAATAAATTTCCATCAAATTATGATTTATAATTAAAATGTATTTTTACAAAATTTTTATTAAACCTAACGTTACATTCTTACAAATTATATATATATATATATATATATAATTATTATTTTTTTTTTTTTTTCAACCCGAAGGTTGGTTTACAGAAAATTATATAATTATATAATTTAATTATTTTAAAATCCATACTTTTTTCTTTATTTAGCGCATATAATTATAAAATAATAAATAAATAATATAATTATAAATCCAATGTTTACCTCATCCAATATAATTTCCTTCGTTGAAATAATTTTATCTAATTTAAAAAAAAAAAAAAAAAGTAATGAACAAACAGTATGAATCATACAGTAATATTTAAAAAAAACAATATAGTTAACCAAAATCATTTATGTATCTACATTATAGAATATTCTACTTTATCAAAGTATTTCCATTTCTTTATAATAATATAAGAAATAAGAACATAGCGGATATCATTTTAAATACATTCAATAGCTCTGCGTTACTATACCACAATTTAACCTTTCAGTTATAATATTCTACAAGATACAGACAACACTAAAAAAACATAAACGTTAAAAATAATTAAGTAAACGATGTGTTTTAAATTTTAAAAAAAAAGATAACTAATTATATTTTTTTTTAATATAACAGCAAAATTTGTATTAAAACTATTTATAATACTTAACATTATACTTTAAACTGACAAAAATAATTATAAAATCGATTTTATCACTTGGTATACATATTTTTTTGCTGATGGACCCATATAAGTGAGGTATCAGTTAAATAACGTTGGAACGAGAAACAGTTATAATGGAAAAACGTCATCATTGAAAAATAATATATCATCAATGTGGTCGTCATGGCTGTGTGATGTCCAACAAATATTTATCTTTTGGGAAGAAGGTATTTCTACCGGCACTGTTAAGTAATGAAAAATGTTAAATAGTGATTAAAAACAATATTGAACATTTAGTTTTAAATGTACCGAATCCACAACATTCTTTGTCATATGACATTTTATTTATCAGAGTTACCCACGCATTACACTTATTTGAAAACACATGTTCGTTTAACTACGTTTTAATCGGAAAAATTAACTCTAAGTCAACAAGTGTGTCCCAATTCTATTATTATTTATCCTCACTGTTATGGGAAACGCAAAACTAAATAACTGTACCATATATGTAAACAGTGTTAGTTTCATAATCATGATTCCATTTAAGCTGAAGCAAATATGACAGAATGTGGCTATTTTTATTTAATTTTTCTGATAAATGAAAAGAAAATAGGTTTTTCTTCACAAATATTACTCATAAGATAAAAAATTTAATATTCACAAAATAATACAATAATTACCTTACAAATAATATAAAATTTAATAATTCCAATATCAATAAAAATTATTTCGTTTATTCCAAATATTAAAATAATAATAGTATATATATTATTATTATTATATTTTATTTACACAATATTCGTCACTCATTTCAATATAATCAATAATCGTAAATAATTTGAATAATAGTTTCATTATAGTTTCAGAAATAAATAGGGTTGTAAAATTTCATGAAATTTATTTTCATAAAATATATAATTTGAGTGAAAAATAAAAATTTTGTTTCATTTCAGTAAAAATATAATGCTTTATGTTTTATTTTTTATGGAATACTTTTTGTATTATTTATTGTACTAAATAGAAATAAAAACTAATTTATATAAATTAATAATTAACACCGTATTAGTTTATAGTTATTATAATTTATAAATATTGATTTAATAGTTAAGAGACCAATAGTCATTGAAACACCTGAAGAAATTTTACAAAATATAGATGAATTTATAAATAAATTGCCAGTAGATCCATTACTCATCAGCTATCACATTATTTCAGAAGTTTCTCATCAAAAACATACATCGGTACCTAGTGAGTTTAAAAGTTAAACACATATTTATAAAATTTATTGTGAATATTGTGAAACGCACAATATTATACCAGCATCTGGAAATGTTTTTAAAGAAAGATGAAAATTACAATTCAATATTGGAGTACAATATTTAATTGTATTTATATACAAATAATAAATAAAATAAATATATATATATATGTATATATGTATAAAAAATAATAAACATAATGTAATTAAATAAATCTAATTTAATAAAAAATAAAAATAAGCTCCTTTGCATAGTTAAACAAATCATAAATTAGGAAAGTATAATGTTCTCATTAATATACTCAAGAAAGTATAGAAATTAAAATTTAGATGGCTGAAAACACTTCAGAAAACTTGACTAGTAACGTGTAAATAAATCATAAGCGATTAGAACTATTACTTATTAGACGAATATTATCATAAAAATAGCTGCTATCAATAATGCGCCGGTTTTGTTGTTACTACATATATTACTATTAAACATATCTGGTCGTTACCTATTTATAGGCAGCTGATAGACTATACCACGTTAAATGGGAAAACCCAAGATTGTACCTGAACGATATCATACAATATCAACTGATTAAATGACATTTTAAAGTCACTATCTCAAACGTAAAAAAAAATATTTTTCAATATTTTATTGAAATATTTAATAAAGCGTCAAATTTTCAACTATGAAATATTTCAAATTTACAACCCTAAAAATAAATATATAGTTTCGTGTTAGAAAATTTGGTAGCCTAGGCGGTAATGTTTATGTGGCAGGTCTTAGGATTCTTATACCCACAATAATCTTTACTTCATCCGATAAATATACTCCAATATAAATATTCACTCGAAAGATAAATACCCTAGTATTTTTTATCGGTAGTAAAATATCAGAGTAAAATTCAAACCTACAAAATGATATATAATTACTTCCGGTAACTTTAATTATACTAAGATGTATTACCGGAAGGAGACAAGAATGACTGAAAGTGAATATATCATGTTTACAACAGAACAAAAAAAAAAGCTATAGTATTCATCTCAACGTTGATTACGCAACACATGATTAAAAAAAAATCATAATTTTCTATACGGTAGGTTAAGACACAAAATATATATATATATATTTTACCACAGGTTTACAAAAGCTGTAGATGTATACTCGTAGATCAAATTGTCAGGGAAAAATAAATCGAGTTAGCCTAATCGACCACCTACTTGATATCGGGAACGCTTCTCAAGATCGCCGCTGTACCGCTAGTAATTTCGACTTCTGTAGCTAAAATTCTCTGAATTTGTCCGTCACTTGAGCACTTTTAAGTTCACAGGTATCAGTATCAGACCACATATGGTAAAATATGTAGTTCGTAAATCGTCGGCCCAGAGAGCGCTTCTAGTCACCTCTGGTCCATGAATCGGTCTGTAATGCGTTTGAAGTTGTCTATTGAATTGCTAAAAATTAAATACATTTTTTCTGTAATACATTAAGATTATTAAAACCATTTTTAATGTTGTTTGGACAAATCACAATGTTTTAAAATTTCCCTGTGGTTCTCGTTTTTGGTTAGTCGTTTGGGTTACTATTACTACAGTCGGTAGATAGGCGAGGTAATTTAGTTTTATTCCGATTAAGGAATTATCATATATGACTATATAATTCCCGACAAAGATGTTTTTACATGTTGTACCTATTAATAGTTTGTATAAATTAACATTAGAGTAAGTAGTAAAAAGTAAATAAAACGAGGAATGTATTAGTTTTACCAAGATGGATTTTTTTAGCGTATGTCTGTTTGATCCGATCATCACAATCACAAAATGTTTTTGGTAAGAAAAGTTATCTACCTATAGTTAGTATTTTAATGAGACCATATTAAGAATTTTCATATAGTTATGCAAAAAAAAAAAATGACGAATAATTATAAAAAAAAAAAAGACAAAATATATGACATATCTGCTTTTGATAAAATCGAATTTTCGTTTTCAAACTATTTTTACTGAAAAATACCATATTATATCATAATAATACCATATCTACTCTCATCATATTTTAAGATTTAATTCATTAAAGTCTATTTGGTTTTCGATTTTTATTTTCATGAGTGATATCCATTATCATTAATATCATACAATTCATCAAATTTCTCTTTCCTCTACAACATAATTCACCCTTTCGCAGCTTACTTATTATTATTGGCTTTCCATGCAGTATTTTATTTTTTAATAATATTATAAGAACCTTGTGTAGGAGTACGAGTTTTTTCAAAATATAAAACACTCATCTACAAGTGTCAAGTTTATAGGCTGACATCGGAGGAGGGGATTAGCCCCCCAAATATTTTAATAGCCGCTCAAAATCGAAACTTTGTTAGAAATGTTATTCGTTGTCTTTGTAATTATCTGTTCGTTTTTTTTGAAAATCGTAAAATAAGAAATAATAAAAATCTATTTACAATAGCATTAACAATACCAATTACTTCGGCTACTTGCGAAAGAAGTTTCAGTGCAATGAAAAAAATAAAAACTTGGCTAAGGACATCGTTGGTTCATGATAGGTTCAGTGATCTTTCATTACTATATATTGAAAAAATATATCGAAAAATATAAAAAGCGATGATATTTTGAATATCTTTGTTGATACAAATAGATATTTGTCATTAATTATGGGTGTTGGGGCGAAGCCCCTGTGGGTTATTTTACATTGAATTATTATAGCCCCCCCCCCCAAAAAATTCAACCAAATATCCGTCTATGGTCAAGCTATCATGATAATTTAATTTTTCAACTCTAATATCATAAAATAATATACTTTAAATTTTTTTTTTTTTTTTTAAGGAAAAAATATACTGCCAATAGTTTAGAAGTCGCGTCACGCCAGTCGTGCTGTGCACATATGTATTACTATTACTGTGTTATGAATAACCTAGTTATCTTAATACCAACTCAATCACACGGCCGCTTCACCTCCTGGTGCAGCTAACTGTATCATTCGACATCTGAACCGCAGAACTGCAAACATTCGACACTACCCCTTTCCGAGGATAGTAAATATAAGATTCTGTATTAAAACTAAAATCAATGTAAAATATTCATATTTTATATTTTATATTTTATACTTACATTAAATCAAACTACAATATCATTTTCAACAACTTATACATAGCAGTATATTTAATATTCTCCAAGGCACCGTCGTGAACGGTGACCTTTGGACTTCGTGATTAGATTTAAACCGTTGCAACATGTCGTATGGCTCGCCTTCAAATGCTAACAATAAAACCGTATCGCCAATTATAATTAAAGATAAACAACCTATAATCAAGCAAAATAAGACTCCAGTGAATTCGAATTCACATAAAAGATCCCTACCTGTCTCAACAAAGACACCAAGAAACCTGCCTAATGAAAACAGCAAAAAAACAAAACTGCCTCTCCAAATCGATACAGCGCCCTCGCCGACATTGTAGACGATAATGATAACGGTGACTTACCTGAGTCTTTCAGTCAGGAGCCTTCCGATACTGCCACACATACATTAGCGAAAGCGTTATTGCCACCACCAATTTTTATTAAAGGTGTATTAAATTACTCAAATCTACTCTCCAACCTGATGGAGCTAATCGGTCTAAACAGCTTCGTTTGTAAATCGACATCTGCCCATTTAAAAATACAAGCCAGTAAACCTGATGACTATAGAAAAATTATCCATTTCTTATAAGAAAATAAGGCGTCATTCTATACCCATCAGCTCAATCAGAGAAATCTTACAGAGTGGTCATAAGAAATCTCCACCCCACTACTTCAGTTACAGATATCTCCTCGGCAATTGAGGAGATTGGGTTCTCAGTTAGGCAAATCACAAATATAAAATACCACCAAACAAAAACTGCTCTTCCCATGTTCTTCGTTGATCTTTAGCCTAACCCCTCCAACAAAGACATTTTCAATATCAAGACACTTTTACATACATTAGTCAAAGTGGAGGAACCACACAAACGCCGTAATATTCCGCAATGACTTAATTGCTAAACCTACGGGCACACAAGAGCCTACTGCTCCTACCCCCCATGCTGTGTTAAATGCGGCAAGGACCACCCAACAACAGCATGCAAAAAAAAGCCTGACACTCCTGCCACATGCGCGTTGTGCTGTGGTAATCATCCAGGCAACTATAAAGGCTGCACCGTGCATAAAGAACTTCAAAGCCGTCACCGTCAACCTTCCACCACTACCAAACACAATCAACATTATCAACAACACCAGCCCCCTCCACATTCAGTCCAGCCAAGCAGCTCAACACTCAACCATCCGCTGCCAAATCCACAAGGCAAATCCTACGCAAATGTTACAAGTAATGACACCGTACATAGCACACCAACAAATCCACTTCCTATCATTGAGAACAATACTCTTTCAAATTTTATAAACGAATTTAAGTCCATAATTATTCCCCTTATCTCTCTCCTTACCTCCTTAATATCTAAGCTTCTCGCCATCCAACAAAATCCCTAATTCATATACTTCCAACTCTCTCCTCATCCTCACTAGGAACGCAAACGGGCTCAATAGACATACAAATGAATTACTTGCCGCACTGTAAAATAAAAGAATTGACGTTGCACTAATTTCTGAAACCCATTACACCAACACATCTACTCTTAAATTACCCGGCTATAAATGCTATCACACCTGCCATCCTGACGGCACAGCCCACGCTCGAGCAGCAATATTAGTCAGATCCGCACTCCAATTCTATCCTTTACCTAATTATCAAACATCACATACACAAGCTTGTACCATATCTTTAACACTGAACCATAAACTTATTACATTATCAGCAACGTACTACCTACCACGTCATAACATAACTCCAAATCAATTTAATGACTTTTTAATTATCTCGGATCAAAATTCGTAATAGGAGGAGACTGTCGTATATCCCGATTGGATTGTACATATAGACTCAAACACACCAGTAGAAATAAAGTAACACTTAAGAAAAATTGCAATTCTGTCGTGGTCGAATCACACGACCACTCTCGAAGACTCTTTATTGTTTTTATCTTTTCTCTTATATACATTTAGCTTAACCTAATTACACATATATTGCTTACATGCTAATTTGAACATAGTATAAACAAGTTATTTTACATTTATATTTTTGTATACTATTTTTGTATACTTTGATAGTATATTATGATAACCTACTTCCTATTGAGACATGAATACCCGTTTATTTTAGTTCATTTAATATTTCATTTGACATGAATCTTAATTGCCTAATACTACAAGACATAAATGCTAAGCAAATTCAATGGGGATGCCATACAAACAACCCCCATGGCAACCTTCTACACCGTATCACAACACTCCAGCAATATAAAATACTCTCACCCCCTTCTTCCACATACTGGCCCAACTCGCCCAGAAAAAGACCCGACATACTTGATATTTACATAACGAAAATCTCAAACAGTCTTAACTGTTATATAACAAACTTACATGAACCCTGCTCAGACCACTCACCTGTTCTGCTTACAATTGACACTTTACCCCCTCCCATTAAATCTCTCCTTCCGTCCCTCACGAATGGTCATATGAATTGAGAACGCTTTCAACTTATTCTAGATAAACAAATCAAACTAAAAACTCGACTAAAATCTCCCTCCGATATTGATGATGCAATTAACTCATTTACCACTTCCATCCAAACAACCGCCTGGTCTTCGTCCACTCCAACACCACCAAAATCTGCAAATCAAAACCTCCCTATTTACGTCAGACATCTAATTGCAACCAAGCGTCGAGCCAGAGCCGTCTGGCAAAGGACCCAGTATCTTTCTGACAAACGTCACTATAATAATTTAACACAAAAACTAAAACGCACCCTCTCTGAAATTCGTACAGAGAATTATAATAAACATCTGTCCTCACTCACCACTAAAGACAACTCAATATGGAAAGCTACAAAAAAATAAACCATGAACTCCACTAAAAATATACATCCTTAAAAAACCAGACGGCACCTGGACTATAAGCGACGAAGAAAAGACAGGCATTTTTCGTGAACACCTCTCATCGACTTTTAAACCACATTACTCATTACTCAGCCCCACTAAAGTTGACGAAGTAAATACATTTCTTGACTCTCTTTTGCCTATGACAATGCCACCCAAACATATATTTCCTCGCGAAGTTGAATACCTAATTAATAAATCACAGAAACACAAATCTCCCGGCCACGATTTAATAACATCTAAAGTTGCAATGCATCTCCCAAAAAAGACTTTACTGTTCCTCTCATTTATATACAATTCTATGATAAGGCTCACTTACTTCCCTTTGCTTTGAAAATATTCAATAATAATAATGATCCATAAATCAGGCAAACCCACAGAAATGCCTCAATCGTTCAGACCAATCAGCTTCTTACACTACTTCTCGAAATTGTTCGAAAAACTAATTCTTAAATACCTCCTACCAATCATAGAAGAAAACCTTCCCAATACTCAATTCGGGTTTAGCCACAATCACTCCACAATACACCAGATCCACCGTCTCGTAGATAAGATCTCTTTTTCTCTTGAAGAAAAACTCATATGCACAGGAGAGTTTTTATATGTTGAACAGGCATTCGATGCTACTTAAACCAATATGGGTCTATGGTATATAGCTCAGGGGATCAGCAAAACCCACTAACATCAATAACATACAAACCCATCAATCCATGACCTTAAGACAAATTACTAAAGCACCATATTACGTTTCCAATCGCACACTCCATCACGACATCTCCATACCTTTTGTTACAGACGTGGCTAGAATTCACTATAAAAGATTCCATAACCGCCTTTTAAACCACAGAAACCCACTCATGAACGATATCTCTTCCCTGTCCATCCCTGAAAATCCTCCAAAACGGCTAAAGTGAAAGTGGTGTAGAAACCTACTGAGAAACTAATTTTAATACTCGTGTTTTTTTATCGTAGTACCTCCACTGGGAGGCTTCTACGCTCTGTCATTTTACAATGTTAGTTTACACTGTTTATTTTTAATTATTTTTATTATTTTTATTATTTTTTTTTTTTACTTTACTCTCTTATATAATGTCCTCAATTGTTCTTTTTATTCACTTTGAACAGATTGAATAAAAAATGTATAAACAAAAAAAAAAAATAGTTTAGTAGTTCATTGCTCCTATAAGAAAAACATAATTTTATGAAAAATTTAAAACAAATTAATTTAAAAAATAAATATTACTTAATTCATGTACTGACTATTATTTAAACAGCTGCAAACTCCGAGTAAAATGACAAACGTAAATTCATATGACATAGTGATTTCATCTATTATAAATACATTAAAAATAAAACGCATGTATACAGCTTAATTTTTATAGGTTATACTTGTAGTATGTCATATTAGAGATGACCCGAAGTCTTAATAAAATTGATTAATAACTGCTTTTGAATCGAATATAAAATAATATCTAATAATTACTATGTTATCTTTGTTTGATAAATTAATAAAATATTTTTTTATAACTTAAAAATTAGTTCAAAAATATCCGAAAGAAGTATTTAGCAAAATATTTTAATAATGAATACTGAGTAATTAATAATATATATATATAGCATATTCACTTGGTGAAAAATGAATCAGTAATAAATTCATATTCTCATAAATAATAAATTAAATAAAATAATAACCGAATTTACTATATATTATTACCAACATATAAACATATTTTCAATTATTTTCGTTAAATTCTATAAGGGAATCGTTTATTTAGATAACATTTAACATTACACTTTATTGTTGATATAAAATAAAAATAATTAGTGATTATTTTTCAATGACTATAATTATAATACACGACATTTTTTCATCATAACCGTTAAAAAAGAGATTTTATTTAAATATTATATAAATCCAATTGTATAACTTTAAGACAGTATATATTTTTTTAGGAATTTTAAATTTAAAGATTGTTCATATGAAATTATGTATTTATCTCATTCATTAAATATATTTAAATAATTGTAAAAATTGCATTTTTCCCTACAAATAAATAATTATATACTTTGTTGATTTTTCTTATAAATATCAATAGATTTGGACTAATGAGAAATATTGTTAAAAAGTTTATTTTATAGATTATATTAAGTTCTACAATTAAAATCTAATATAGTTGTATGTAAATGTATGCTATATTTTTTAATAAAACTTAACTAACAGCAAAAATTACATTTTTACGTAAATTACTTTTTTCATGGTGATAGAAAAATAAGGAATCCTATATTAGCTTTTTTTCAGTAATAACTATATGGATTATTCAATCTTATTCTGTAAGACGTATATTCACAATTTTATTTTTATTAATTGAAATTTTAAGATTACATTTTTAATATGAACTTATTAAAATTTGTTATCATTATATTTTCATATTAATTTATTGTAGTTCTACTTCATCGTTTTAATAATTTTCAGATACCTATTAATTTAAAAGCTATTAAGAAATTCAAAATATAATGTACAATATAGAACAACTAAATTCAATTTCTTTATAATAACTATAATACATAAATTAGCTAAGCTAATATTTAAGCTTAAGTATTCCAATAACTATGAAAAAGGAAGTGAGTAGGGATTGTAGTCAGTATAGACATAAAATATAGAAAATATACTGTTGTAAAATAAATGCTTTCTCGCTTTCTTAAAAATTCTAAAATTTAAACTGTACAAAGTCCACAATTTATACAAATTAAAAATCGATTATTTATCGTATTTCTTCAGTAACTAAAATAATCTTATTTTATGATAAAAACCATGATACCAATCATACCTAGATTCTAGAGCATCTGAATAAATATATATAAATAAAATATGTAAGGCTAAATAAATAAAACCATAAATCAGGTTATAAAGCAAACAATAAAATATCAAGTAGTACCCAACTAATGAAACATGTAAGACGTTAGGGACATTTATTACTAATATGTCTTTAATATACCTAAACATCAAGACAGAGTTAATCTCCAAAATGAATTACTATTGCAGCATCGTACTTGTCTAAATACCGAGTTCATAATTTTAAATAAAAATAGAAGTGGGTATACAAATCTTAAAAAAAACGTGATATTTAATTATCAAAACTGAAATTATTCTTAAAATAATTTTAATATGATTTTCATGTTTATAATTCAGAATATATTATTATGAAGGGACATTTCCTTGTCAACATTCATGATTAAAACGCCATGTTTAGTGATATATTGTTACCTAGGTTACCCAAATAGGTCATAATGGTATTATTGTACGTATATTAATTATAACACATTATATCTAATTTATACGTAGAAAATAATATATATGTGAGATACTAAATCCTCACAAAATACGTATTTTAAGAACAGGATGATTATATTTATAGAATAGAAACTAACATATCGGCCAATAAAATTAGATTTTCAAACATATACATGACTAAATTACAAAATTTGACAGTTTGTATTAATTATTTATAAAATCAAACCAAAACAACCGCAAACAATACGACGGTTTAAAGTTTAAAGTTCAGTGGTTCCCAAACTTTTTTTCCCGCGGTGCTTATTTTTGGACTCAATTTAGCCACGGTGCCCTGCTGTGAATAACAAGAAAGACAGGACAAAAAATACTCATTGATAACTAATTTTATTAATTTTATTACAATTTAACTTAATTATAAATTAAAGAATTTTTAAACTAAAAAAATAAAAATCATGTTATTATTATTATTATTATTATTACATAAAAATATTATACGGTTAAAATGAGAATGTCCGAGTGTACAATAGAAAATATTTCATTATGTGCTATAAAGTTTTTACGAAAACAATAAGGAAAAACAATTCTAAAAATTTTAAACTAATTGTTATGAACCGTAAACCATGGTGCCCTTAGAAAGTGTTCACGGCGCACAGCTTGGGAACCGGTGGTTTAAACAAACTTTGTTTGTATATATTATGTATATATACACACTGAATCGAATAACGAAATATGTAAAAATAACGTGTGAACATCGGATAATGTAATTCCAATAAAATGTTTTGTTTACTCTTAATATGTCATCCACTCGCATATATGAATCACGCAGTTCGTTAAATTTTTATAGAAAAATTGTTATTATTCAGTTTATTGACCCCGTTTCATTATCATAACAATAGAAGATAAGAAAATACTAATGAAATAGATTCGCTTATATTTTATTATTATATTTGTAGACCGTTTCAATCGCACGCAATACTTAACTGTGATAATCGGCTCACGTGGTAGGACGTAATTCATTTTTAACGTAACATGTTTTACCATAATATTATATAAACGTGCGCGGATTAATTATAAGTGTATTGTAAGTCAGTTTAAGGTTTATGTGTGCGAAAAATAAAAAAATAAATTAATAAATAAAGGATTTATAGTGTCGGTACTTACCGGTGACGAGAGTTTTCTGCTTCGACGTATGTACCGTTGTTTCCGACGTGATAATATAAGATCACTAATAGTGAAAAATAATAATGATAACAATAACGACAACGGCGGCGGATCGACCCTCGCACGCACGGGGTAGCTATCGGCGTGCTGATTACACGGCGTTTGGCGAATTAATGAGAATTGCGCGCGCCGCACGTCTCTGCCGCTACAGCTTTAGATTCGCACACGCGCGCACCCACCCGCGCGCACACGCGTACACACGCACACACGTGTACAAATATGTACAGGGTGATTTTTTAACGTTAAGCATTGTCACGGTCTAGATTTATCATCGTTTTCAAAAACATTAGGCGTTATTCAATCTGAAGTCGTGGTTGCACCTTGTACGCAAGGGTAAATTATGATTGTTACTATTTTCCTATTGTGTTACATTTTCAAGTTAGTTAGTAAGTAGTTAGTAAGTCAGCACGTTTCTAACCACAACGTACCCCAATAGATTTCTGGTACAACATATTTTCAATGATGATTTCAATGTGCAAAAATCGATCGCATCAAACTGATAGTAAATTATTTATGTGTACTTATTAAGCTCAAACGGGTGGTGGTCAACGTTTTATAGTCGGTGCACCACTAGACACTCGTTTAAACTTTGATAGATATTTTCGGTAAAAACGCTCTGTTTCGGAGTGGGTATAAAATGTAAATCTCAATATAAAAAACCGTTTGAAGAAAATAAAAACTTGAAAATCATGTCGACGTGGAATAATTTATTCAAAAATCAAAGAAATGAGAAATAAATCACCCTATATTTACCATATACACGTATATGCACTCAACTGGCGTATGTCGCTACCGTTATCCACGCTGCGTCTCAGTGTCGCCCCATAGACGGAAAATCTCGGCTACGTTTTCCACAAGACTTTGTATTGTACAATGTATTATGTACAATGTGATCTTTTACGCTCAGGCACCACCTCGAATAGTATCGGATAGATCGCTATAATTTAGCACATTATTGTTCACCGCCCTAAGCCGTATAAAATAGGATAAAATCACAAAAATAATAAACTTAGTTTTTATTATTTTTATTCCTCCCAAATACACTTCGCCGACATCGTTGCCGCCACCTCTTATAACAAATATACAGTTATCGACTTATATACTTCAGTTATACGTCGGTCGATCGATAAATCGAAACCGCACAGTCAACCGTATGTGCCCGATAATAATACGCATAACGAATTTAAACACATTATAGGTACTATTTTTTGACATTCTTAATAAACATGTAGACAACGAATCTGTATGTGATGTTGTACGACACGATACAACACATTCCAATAGTGAACTCGAATGCTCGTAAAAAATAAAATTTTGTTATTGTTCAGTAAATATAGGAAATATTACGCAAAGAAAAACTTTTATGCTTATAATAACATAAAAACTGTTTTGTTTTAACTTATAACTTTATAAAATACATTGATTTATCTTAACCATTTTGAAATTGCAGTCGATATAACCCAACATAAATATAAAATTATATTACATATAAGGAACAAAGAACATATAGTATTGGAAAATAGTAAGAAAAGTATATGTGAATACGATTTCCAATGATAGCGAGTAAATTAAAATATAAAATCTATATTTTTCCTTAAATTGTGACGCAATTAACATGTCCACTGAACTAATATAAATGTCGTTGCGCCTTTGAGTTTGTATATTATAATAAAAAGGGATGCAATTTTAGTTTAAAAATGTCCCACTACATTGAATTATAAAGCTAAAAAGTTCTGGTATAGTTAGGATAGTAGGAATGTGCTTGAATAATAAAGTAATTAACGTCTTGCACTGTTGTATCATTTCAGACGCATAAGTAGTTAAATTAAATAAAAATAAAATACTAAAATTATAAATTTCTTATACAATATACTAATTAATTTAAATTATATATAAATAATAAATATGTTATGCTGTATTATACTATATTACATACAAAATATGTATGCATAATATCCAGTTGATTATTTATAGCTTTAATATCGTCTCTTTTTTTTAATTAAACTTTTGTACATACATGGTAAGCATCAGACAAATCATTATATAAACTATACCACCAAATACCAAGAAAAAAATTAAATTTTATTACTTAGTACGTTTAATTATTGTATACAATTTTAATTTAATATTTAACGTATAGGATTACCACTTTACGATTAACCAAAAGAAATGCTGAGTGATATTTTTCATTATTTTACGTCCCGATTGTACATTAATTAAATATTTTAATGTCTCGTTTGGGAAATCCATTCACCTAGCCAGAACATACAGACCACAGAAATTACTTCTTTCTTCTATTTTATTTGTAATTTGTGCATACTATACATTGTTTTATTCAAACAACGAAGTTATATCAATCAATACTCGGGCATCCACTCATCTTCAGTATTTAAATTTTCAAATACCATATTAAAATAAAAGGTACCTACCATAAAGAATATAATAATTTAGTATATTTAAAAAAATATAAATTATGTATAGGAATTAATAATTTTAAAATGTTTTGTTCAATATAGCTTTATAGCCTTTATATGTAACGATTAAATATTGAGTAAAACAAAAAAATAAGATAATAATATTTTAACCATATTTATTCATTTACAAAATATAAAATAAATTATATTTATTATTATATGTTAAGTATAATATTGATTATTGCTTATACTTTGATATTATAATTTTAAAAAACAATACTGCAGCCTATCCCATTTAGATAGGATTTATGATTACATCAGACACAACTAATTTAATTTAATTTTTCATTTAAATATATACACCGAAGTCCAGTTTCTTCTAAATTTATAAAAATAAAGGTAAAATAATATTAATTAAAAATCAAATCATCCATAAATAATATATAATAATATATTACTAATAAATAATACCAGTACACATTTTAAAAACCCAATATTAAATATCAATCTTATATATTGTTATTTTTATAAATATGCATTTCAAATTAAGTAATGTAGTAATATAATGTAATATTATATTAAAAAACAAAAAAACAAATGTTGTAAAGAAGTTTTTAAGCTGACATTTTTAGTCTCTTGATTCTCGACTCATGAGTAAAATATACATAATGTAAATATAGTGTATAAACACTAAAAATTAATTTAAGTTAAGATAGTTTTTATGGTACTATCTATACATCGTTCTTTCTGACCGTATTCTCTAATTTATTGTGTTTACCGAAGGAGTAGTGACAACATTTCAGGAGAGGAAATTTGAAAAATCTGAAAACCTTTTTTCCGATTGTTTACATTTACATATTGTTTTTGAAGTCTTAAATAATAGCATTGATTATAGATACTAGTATTTATAATCAATTTTAATAGTTACGACTACAAAATATTTAAATAGTAAACACTTTATATCACCAATTCAAACTCTGAAGTCAGTATACCATTATACGTGGTATGAATTACTATTTTTTTCCAAGTATGTACAATTAACACCGTCCAAACGCCACATTTCTCCTACAAATGAATTAATTTATACTCCATATAAATACATCTATTGTAAGCTAGTTAACTTCCTAGGACGCTTCCTGGGACAATTTACGTATAGAATGATAAACAGTGATAAATATTTATTTATAAATTAATAAAAATAAGTGCTTTCCGGTAGTATATATCAAGTGTAAAAATGAGGGTTCCTATAATCTACAACGGAAACAATCAAGGATACATTTGAAATAATTTAAGTCTTATCCTTGCATACATAATTAGTAAAACTAGTAGTATATAATATATAGCAATACACAATTATTTTAAAAATTGTTATTATTTTTTGTTCATTCTAATTATCTTTATAAGTAATTTACTAATTTTTATACTTCTATATAATACAAATATTTAATAAAAGATTAATTCAATAATAAAAAAAACATGTTCACAGCAATATTTAAAAGAAAATACAAAGACTTTGAATTATATGAAGTAACTTCATACTTTGAATTGATACTGGTAATAAAAGAGTTAAAAATACTTGATTAAAAAAAAATAAAATAAAAATATAAAAATATAAAAATATAGAATAAAAATTTTTTTAAATTAAATTATTAATTTTTTTTTTTTAATAAAAATATAGAGTTAAAAATACTTGATAACTTCTATCAATTACAACTTATCAAACACATTAGCTCAAAAACTTAACCTCCAATCACTCTCGTAAAAACCATTCATTAATGATATTTTCTTTCTATAAAAATTATAAAATTGATTTTTCGGATCAATAAATTAAAGTTTCTTTAAATATACCTCACCATAGTTCCAGATTCACCAACATATTTTATGTACAGCAAAACAAACAACATAATAGTTCTCATTCCCACTTAATATACTCGTGGTTTTAATATATATTAATTCATTAAACATTTTTTATTTTATCTACAAGCAATATAAAATGAAGTTCTAATATAGATGCTACATTTATGTAGAGTATAAAACACAATTTATGTACTAGATGCTTTAATTATTAATACAATTAATTTATGTCAATCACTTTGTTTAATTTTTATTTAAAGTCATTCTCACATGTTTCCACTACTTGTACATTTGTATTACTTTTAAATTTCTATGATCTTTGCTCCACAAAGCGTAATTACTTACAAAAATAAAAAAACAAGTACACTTCATATATTACAAATATAAAGTAGGTTTATGTTAAATTCTGTGTTAAATTTCCTTTAAATACCGTGTAAAGTATAATACATTTAGAATTTAATTAAACTTTATCGACATATCACATACGTGTAAAGACTAAATTGTTCATAGTAATTAATTTTCTCATTAATATTTAACCGAAATATTGTATAAAAAACGTATTACTAATTCAACATCTCAAAGAAACGTAAACATTACGTTTTGTCATCTCAAAATTACGTTAAAACTACAATCTTAGATTACTGTAAATTATACTTTACATTTACAGGTACACACAATCTTTAAATTGTAATTGTCGCAAGAAATATAATAATAATACCTTCATACATTAAATGCAATTTCAAAATCTCAAGCAAGTAAATACTTAATATTGGAAATAAACATTTTAATTTTCTCACATAGATATTCCCCAATCCCGTAAACTATAAATTTAACTGTTGGTTATAAATCTATTTAAGTATATAAATCAGTTGTATGGCATTAATTAAAAACAGTAGTT